TATATAATTCTGATCTAACTGCTCTCTAATAGTACAGCACATCTTAAGCAGTGAAGACTTATTCACAGACACAGGGTAAAGGCACTGGTATCTGCTGTTCACAACAGAAACATTAACTTTACAGCATGTAGTAAATGTTTAATGATAGTGTTTTTCAGACTGTGCTCTCTAAACTTCTTGAAGTTTAAGGACTATTTTAAGAAGCTTATTAATCTGAAAGACAGTTTACTGTCCATAACCTTAAATTTGTGTTATGGAATTCTGTACTTTTGTGGGGTTTTTTAAACTGTTGGTCCACAAACCAACCAACCCAACTTCTTTTAAGAACGTCTTTCAGCTGCCAATCCAAACCAGCAGTGAGTCCTAAAGGAAGTTCCAAAGCTGTCTGATAAGGGACATACCATTCAAATCAGTACTACCCTCCAGGCCTACAAAACAGATTCAGTCTTAACTCTGAAACTGTTCCTTCCACTACTTTTTTTTTTTCTTTAGCTTTCTCCTTGATTACATTTTAGTAAAGTGAAGATGACAGCTTAATTCAGACACTGAAGACAAGAGGGAAAAGATGATTGTGAGGGAGGTAAAACTTACCAAGGAATGCATAGCCAAGCAGCTGGGAGCTAAAACCCACAGTGTTTGTTTGCTTTAGACCTGTAAGTACCAGCGATGCTCCAAGATTTTTCTCCTCTTCCCACTGCAAATAATGCAAACCAAGTAAGCACTCCTTGACAAACACAAACATAAAACGGCAACAGCCAAAGACAGCACATAAGGCTTTCACCAGATGTCTCAGCAGTAACAAATCACTAAACATGTCAAGTGGTCAGAGTTACAGCATGTATATCCTGAGGAATAGTACACAACGTATCGAGGAACATCTCTTGCTCCAGAAGGCAGTGGTTGAGATTTTGCATGGAACTTAATCAGTGCATTTCCTTCAAAACACAGAGCTACAGGAATTTACACTGGTCAGCTAAGCTCTGTCTCTGTCCTGTATGTCTTACCACTTGCTTCAGACTACCAGTCTTGAAGAAAAAAATTTCATGGCTTCTGTGCTAGAGCAGTCTTAAAAGAAAAGTATGTGGTAAAATACATGCTTCCCTATTCCTCACTAGAACAGGAAAATTCTGAGAGAAGAATATGCTGCTAACGGCTGCTCTGAGTCCAAAATCTTTATTGTGAAAAGAACATATGCAATTCTCCAAGGCCCCTGTATGCCCAAGGATTAAAAGTACAGCTGTCTCTCCAGCTAGAGAGAAGTACCAGCTGTCTGAGCCAGACAACCAGTGATGGTTAAAGAATGGCACCCTATAAGTAAATACATTAAAACCACAAAAGCAGTTTGAATTTTGTTTTGCTATGGGACAGTACAGTACATTTTTCAAGACCAGAGAAGCACAAACATTGATGATAAATGTCTCACTACTGCAAGTGAAAGGAGACGAACAATTCCCACTGCTAAGAAAATGATGAAAAGGAAGCTAAAAAAAGACAATAGATGGAAGAAGTCTGACTCACTAACACATGGGTTTTGTGGCAGGGTACTTGTGTCTTGTTTATTACCTTATGACCTGAAACAAATATCCCCCGCAAAACATCAAAGTTTTCTGAAAAATTCCCTGAGGTATACTCGGTCTTAAAAAGCACGAAGGTTCAACCTTCTAGTTTAATGCATTATTCAGAGATGTCTTTTTCAAAGTATGGCATTGTTTTGTATCTCCATTTGGGTGCTACAAGAATTTGCATGCTATCATCTCACACAAAATACTATCACCTGACAGCCAGGCAAGCTATTTGCCTGACCCAGAAAACTGATAAAAGGAGACAGGGCTGTTTCATGCTGAATTCATCACTCCAGCTGAATGTTACAGGAAAATCAGATGCAACTGGAAAAACAAGGCTTTTAGTGGCCTAGGTTCTTTTGTGAGCTAGCCCATTGGCTCCACAAGCTGAAGGAACTGAAAGAATTTAATGTTAACACCTTTGCAGTAGAAAGTAGCAATCATAGTGATTGTCTGCAGCAGTCAAGGAGGAAACTTTCTGGGTAGAGCCAAGATCAGTCAGGCTTTCAGTGGTTTTTAAAACAACAGAAAAATCACCACTCTCTATCACCACTGCTATACACACTAAGGACTAACATAGTCAGGCTGCCCAAAATTCAGCTCTCAAAGTTAAAAAGCATTTTATCAGGCGGCTGAACCCTAAGCTACTGCCAGTGGTCTGTCTGCAGCAGCACACTGGCTGACCTGTCTCACACCTTGGGAAAAGGGATTGGGATTGTCAGGAATAGCTGAGCAGACCTCGTAACTCTGTTTACCACCACTTCCTAAATCAGACACAGAAAACTGGTACTGAGCATTATGAGATGTTGAATAGTACTCTGTACGATGTATAGACAGAAAAATATGGCTTATCGCTGTCACTGGATGGGGTCATTTCAAAATGGCACAGCTATATATTATTAAATGTCACAGCTATATAAATACGCTTGCCTTAAATGTGTCGTATGTACATGCAACCCTTGCTTGCATATTCAGCTTTCATGAAATGCTATCCATATTGAAGTTCTTATCTTTGCAGTCAGGATACACGAACATGGACAAACACAATGGGAAAATGAGGTTTTGTTCCCCCTGCTTTTCACATACAAGTGATTATGCTTATTTCTGTGGATTGAGGGAGAATACAGAACAAGGCAAATGCACATCTGTTTTCTATAGTGAAAACTGATATGACAATCTAGTTGAGTAAAATCTTAAGGCAGCTCTAATACGTATTTTGGAATATGATTCACGTAAGGCAAATGGAGGATTCAAGCATTTTCCTATAGATGACAACATCCTATTGAAGGCTTGTGTCAAACTACACGAAAACTAACTGCCTAAAGTGACGGACATGGCAGAGCCCTCTACTGATACCTAACTGAGCCCCTTCTGTAAAGGAAGAATAATGCCACTTCCAGAAGCCTGAACTGTCGTATTGGCCTTAAGCAAACGTGATGTGAATAAGAATCCCCCAATCCTTGGAGACAGGAGAGATGTAAAGAATTTAGCTTTAAAACAAATATATACTAGAAACAATACACCCAAAGCCAAACTGGGTAGTGAAAATCCTATTGAAAGTGCTTTATAATTCTGCAACATCACCATTACCAAGGTCTAATGGTATACAATACCCACCTAATCAGGCTCCTATACAAGAGGTGACACAGTTTTTTTGTTAACCGATAAAGCCCTCTTTGAACTGAACTGAAATGTCTTTTCATAATCTTCCAATGGGCATACATTACATTTGAAAATCCCAACACACCTTCCTTTTCAGAGGAAGGGGCAAAAACGGTTACAGGTCATTTTATGGCTTTCATATTTTGTGTTTCTTTTTGTTCTTCCTTCTACAGTGTAAAACTAATGACCAAAAAAAAAAAAATTAGTATAATTTTTTCCCCAGGTAAACATAAGGGAAATAAAATACACTCAAGATTGAATACCCAACCTACACTTAAAACCAAAGTTTTTTGTGTATCATTTTGTGTGGTCAGCTTACTGTATGTTCATGCTTGGTTGCCAGGTACTGGTATAAAACATAGAGAGAAAGAAGCTGTGTTGATAATTCATCAAAGGTTTCTTGCAGCATTATCTCTGTTACTACCGACACAGCATCTATGGAGGAAAAAAATTCATGATCAGCAAGCACAAATTTACACAGCTCCCTTTCATACCCACTCATGTTCACTGATACTTCAATGCTGTAGAATGTTTTTAAGTAGTTATGGAGAAAGTTAAATCCAGGTGATATGGAATTAGTCTTACTCGCTTAGGTTACTCAACACACTGCGAGAAGGAAGAATGGGTTGAACAGCATGAGACCACAGCAAAGGAGCTTTCCAAACTCAGCTCTACACTCTTCAACTGACTCTTCTTTGCTCAGCCCTTCAATCATTAACACACAAAAAAAAAATCTGAAAAATGACTTCTTTGTTCTTGTGTTTAGATTACACACAAGAGAAGACTGGCTTAAATTCACTGTCTTAAGGTGACAGGAGAGTACAATGGAGCAGAAATGTTGTCACAGATCACCCACAGCACTCACTGTATTCAACAAACAGTACTCTAGAGATGTTCCACAGGGAGTTCCAGTGACACTCCCTGTCAGGAAGGAGAGTTTGTTAAACAAAAGAACTCAAGCCTATCACAGAAAAGAAATATGGGTTGAATAAGGGGTACTTCACAGACAGGGGAGCTCACAAAATAAAATAAATATATGTATTAATTTCCCATTTAGCAAAACTTTCATGACATAAAAGCTACAGACAGCGGGGCTTAAGCAAAGAAAAGCTCACTGAAAGTCTACAGTACCAGAAAACCTGCAATGAAATGAAAATCTTACAATATTTGTCATCAAACATGAGAGGATTATTCAGCACTGAAATAGTCAGTAGTTAAAGACAGGCACCTCAACACAGCAATTCAGCATAGCTGGCTCTCTCCAGTGACAGGAAGTTTAAACAAACAGTTTAGCTATGCAGCTTTTTGAATAACTAAATATACAAAAAATGAACTCTACCAACATGCATTTTGATTCTTATAATATTCTAATTGTCACTAAAAACTCCTATGATGTCATCAGCATGTAAGTTAGACTTGTAAAAAGTGGAGGAGTTGATTTACATTTGGAATGGGATTAATCTCTGTAGAAACTATGAACTGCACGTTTCAAAATCATATTGAATAAAAACCCAACAGAAATGAGATAGATAAACCTGCAGAAAAGTAGCTTAAAGAAAGAAGGCAATGTGGTTTTAAGGTGACTTCAGAGAAAATATGGCTAAAAGCTTTTAATTCAAAGAAAGGTTCTGCAGATATAAGAGCATACAACTAAAGATGCAGAACTGCATCTTTATGCAGAACATATTTTCTTACCTTCATAATTGTTCTGCTTTATAAAACAATCCAACAAAATATTGAAAGTGAAATTATCTGGGAAAATTCCATACTGAACCTGAAGAAAAGAAGGGGGGGGGGGGAAAACAACAGTATGAAAATCTGCTTTTCCAAGTCTCCCCAAGTATAGTACTGCAGGTATCAGAAAGATCAAAACCACACCATTGCACACTGATGCTATGTGACACTAAAGCAGCACAAGGAGATTAGCACAGCTTCCGTGATGCAGGCCTTCTAACTTCTGATGTACTGGCTTTGTTTTGGCACTTCATGTGAGCCTTTCGGACCAGGAGGGGCACTGCCTATCAGGTTGCTATGCTTCTCCTGCATCTAGCATGTTTTGGATACCACACTGTTTAAAAACAAAAATCTTCCTGGCAAAGAAGATGAAATTCAAGTGCAACATTAATTTTTGTTTTGATAAAGAAATATCAGAACTTAAATCCACAGTCTACAGGACTGGCTGCAATAGGAATTCCAGGTAAGCCACATTTTCTCAAAAAACTGATCAAATATATTCATGACTTTTCCTTGTAAAAACTTACCTTGTTTTTTAATGTGTATAAGGCTTTGTCTTGTGCACCATATTTTAAGCACTGTCTGATCCAGCTGTGGATGGTCCAGTCTCTCAAGTACCAGCAATTTGGACTATGCCGAAACCTAAAGAATGATAAATCGTCCAAGTGACAATATGACTCTTTGTTTTCACAGAAACAAATTCTGTAATCAACAAACTATGAGTTTCAGAACCCCTGCCTTTCATAATCTCAAAAATGTTTCTATCTGGTTTGACTTTGCAGTCAATCATTGCTCTCCAAAAAGCTCCAGCTAGCCCCTTAAAGTAAGGGAAACACAACTTAGATACACTTCAGTAGTATATATGAAGGTGAAATCTGACCTTTTCACAAATGCATATTTTAAACTTCTCACTTCCCAGAAAGTGTACTGCTTTTCCCCTGGAGATATACATACCATAAACTAATGGTAGATGTATAAATTTGGTATATTTATAAACTTCTATAAACTTCGTATATTTATGAAAGCCAACTGAGATTGCTATAAACAATGTAGTGCTTTTTGACCTTGTCCTTCTGATTTATCACACTGTATTCTTGCTGATCTCATCAAAGAGCAACACTGCTTTATGACTGATGACATAAGTATCAGAATTACATCAAAATACAGCTTGGTCTGAACTTCAGAGCTTGTCTAATCTGGTGTCTCCCACCCTCTCTAACTCATGCCTCACTTCAACCATTTAAGAATTCTTTGTGCCTCAGCACAGGCCATCCCTGTGTAGCTACATGCTTCATTTGCTTTAGAAATGCTTCTCAGTGAGGCATGCCTCATGCAAGGAGAAACTGCTGGAGAGCCCTCCCCTGCACCAGCTGCCTTGTTTCCAACTGATGCTTCTTTAACCTATTCTGAGATGCCTCAAGCCATGGCTTCAGCAGTCTTCCCAGGCAACCTACTCCAGCGCTCAAGCAATTTGTAAGTTCTTTAGTTCAGCCTCTTTTATTCCATCCTTATTTAAACATATACACTTTGCTTTGTATTTGGATAAGTGGTGACAAAAAGCATATGGAGCTTTACCTTTGGCAAAGACTCAAAAACCAATTAAGAGCCAAGTGGTAGGAGTTGCTGCCTTGGTTCTGGGCTAAATTTCACACCCCAATGTGAAGAGAGGCATGCAACCCTTCTCAATTCAAACTGTATGCATGAAAAATGGGCTCAGTCCCCAGCACTTCCTGTAAAAAATGCCAGTGACTGAGCTGGGCTCATGTGCAGATGCTTACAGCCTCAAGCCAAGCTGCAGCACCATTTAGAGGCAGGGTTGGCTCTTCCATATGAGTGAGCATGCTTTCCAGAACATTTATCAGATTAACGTGGCCACCAACAATCTTTCCCCCTCAGTGAATCTCTCTGTATTGCATCCCACAGCTAAGGGCTACACAGATGACCAACCCTGGAAAATTACTGTAGCCTACAGAGCCTTCAAGATGCAGAAGACATCCGTGCCAAAAAACCTGCTAAATAACTACACAAAGTCTAAAGATATGAGTTTGTAAGAAACACACAAAATCTCCCAATTAAATTAGAATTTAACAGAAAAAGAAAAGCATGCTTTGAATATTAAATTACAAACATCCATTTTGTTGCTCTAATTGCTTTCCATTTTCTTCCCACTGGAGTTCAAATATTGGGAACAGCAAGAACATATATTTGCTTTCATTAAAGTTCTGTTTCAATAATGCTTGCAGGAAGCATCAATTACAGGCATTTGGATTTAATCATATTTTAATGAAACAATTATCTAATTGCTACAGACTGTTTCACCAGCCATTTAAGATGGGTCAGAGTGCAACACCAGCACCCAGCAATAAAGCTGCCAGCATCTTTTAAAGTTGCTTCATTAAATGGTTAATACTGTTTTGCAACGGGTAAATAACAGACTTGTCTTATAAAACCATGACATTGATGCTATCAAAGACTTAGGCCTTTCTTTTGATATAATCTTTGGCATCCTTCCTAATAATTAGTTACACAGGAAGGAAACAGACATTTAAAAAAACCCCAACAAACCAAACAAAAACCCCAAAGGTTTTAATGAGTTTGAATATTCACTTTTTTGCAGAGCTAAATTTACTCTCTTGAGTACACCGCAGTGAAAGTGAGCACTCCAATACCTCCTGCACCTTGGGAATGCTACAGCCTACTGTAATGGTGAAATGCTTCTAGGTTTTAGAGTCAAACTGCACTTTAACAGTAAAGGCTTAACAGGGATGTAATGGGGTCTAGAAACAGGATGAAACTGATCCTCAATCCATGCAATTTTCTGGGATTGATATGCACAAAATTCAGAGGCACATTATAAAAATTATTTTAAAAAAAAGAAATCTTCACGGGGGCTTTGTAGCACTGAGACTGATCTGAGATTGTGTGTGCGACAAGATGTATCAGCTATAATTACTACATGCTACTATTAAGATCTTTACGCTCAGACCAGGTCCCCACTGTGATACGTACCATGCAAATAAAAAGCATACAGCTTCTCAGAGAAGCCAAATAATTTTCTAGTTAATTCTAATAATTAACTACAAAACAGTTGCCTGGGAATGAAGAGAGGGGACTGGTGCCAAAATTTTTCTGTCTCCATGTCAACAAGAATGCAATGCATATGCATGTATATCATCCTTCAAGACTACATACTTCTATTAATCCATGATTTGTAGAAGGAGAATTGGAAGTGAAAGGGAAACAGGTACACTGCAATCTTCAATTGTTTCTGATCCATAGGATGCTGGGATGAGCTCTGTCTCTCTTCTACTAGCTGAGAATAGAAGCCAACAGAGTATCTATTTTTACAGATAACCTAGACAAACTAACCAAATATTATGGCAGACATTTTTATTTGAAAGGGAATCCGGGAAAAGAGGAGACTGCCGGTCATTTTGACAAGCATTAATGTCATCATCCTTCTCTTATTCCACAAAACAGGATATAATTAAGCAAGGCAGTATGTTCAGGGACTGATGAAAAAAACCAGAAGGAAACTAAAACTACAGAAAGCAAAGGATTTGGAATGAATTAAATAAAGGAAGCCTCTAGCAATTGCGTATTTAATGGAAAGATCAGGAGGTTACCTTGCAGATGTCTGCTGCTGAAAATAATTTTTCTGAGAACTAATAAAAACCTAAGCAGCACATGATTCTTAAAATGTGTTCAGAAAACACAAGTATTAGAGGAGCTCCCGAAGTGTCCCTGTTGGTATACTTTAATGTTAATGGCTAAGGAATCAATATGGTCATCCTTCCAGTCATGGAACTGAAAACATCTGTCCCCACAGGCAACAACAATGAGAGTATCCGTAAGAAAACAAGTTCCTAAAATATCAAGGTCATTGTGAATTTAACAGCATACAGTGCAATGGTACTAGAATTCCCCTTATTTTGGAAAATTATTCAAATTATGTAGTCTAGAAACTTGATTTTTCATTAAACTATTGCTTACTACTTGCAAATTATTATAACCTGGAAGAGATACAGTGAGTGTATAGCCTCAGTATAAGGCAACCAGGACATTTTTCTCCAAGCAAGTGCACAGTCTCTCTTGCTCACAAACTGGCCACCACATTGAGCTACGAACACATTTTTAGTTTACTAATTTCCTGCATAAGGCCCTATTGCTTATTATTTACAATAGTGCTGAAGTACTCATGCTGTGTTAAAGAAACTGAACATTGATGTTTATCAGATGCTGAAAGTGCTCTACTAATACAGCAAGCACAGCTTACTTCTGTTGGTGCCCTCCCATACTGCAGAAAAGCTGAGTTGCTTCACTACTTTACTTATTTTAAATGGTCTTCCAAATTTGTTTGGTGCCATCAAGTGGTGATGAACTCTAGTGCTGCTTTCACATACCTTGTATTCTCACGGAAGTAACACATCCACCCTGAGAGCAAAGAAGCACCACAGTGCTGGACTGTATTCTTCTCCCTAGGTTTGGTATAGGGAAGTTCTTGTTTTGAGGACAGTCGCAATAAGGAAGTGAATGAAAAGTTGCTGGATTACAGAAACCAAGTTCTGCAGAAGGTATTAGTTCCACTACGAGGAACAGCTCTCCAGTAGAGGAACGCAAGCTCAGCACATCTGTTCTAATTCTTTCCTAAGCTCATCACAAGCTCCCATTTTGTATTGTGTGGTTTTCTTAAGGGTCGATCCAATTCCTGGTACCGCCAGAAGCCATCCTTGTGCAACACACTACGTTTTCTTCCCCTCTCCCCCCCACCCCCCAATCTGTGTAAAGGGACGAGTTTCTTTCCTTTCTCCAAATTTATCTAACCTAATGAGAAAGTGTTTTGTAATGATCTACAAATCCAGTGCACAGAACCGTATGGTCTCTTAGGTGTCCAGATTTATCCAAGACCTTCTAAATTTCACCTGCATTGTGCTTTGCTGATTTTGCGTTACCATATATAAAACCAACTCCGTAAATAAAACCTCTTGTACTATGATAGCAGCCTTCCAATATCTGAAGGGGGTCTACAAGGATGCTGGAAAGGGACTCTTCATCATGGACTGTAGCAACAGGACAAAGGGTAACGGATTCAAACTTAAACAGGGGAAGTTCATGTTAGATATAAGGAAGAAATTCTTTACTGTGAGGGTGGTGAGGCACTGGAACAGGTTGCCCAAAGCAGCAGTAAATGCTCCATCCCTGGTAGTATTCAAGGCAAGACTGGACAGAGCATTGGGCGACATGGTCTAGTGTGAGGCATCCCTGCCCATGGTAGGGGAGTTGGAACTAGATGGTCTTAAGCTCCCTTGCAACCCAACCCAATCTATGACTCGGTGACGTTCTTCTCTTATCTTACGTATTAGAGATTCTGTACATATTCTGCCACATTGCAAGGAAGTAGAGAAATCAGCAACAGGACACTGAACAATCCGCATTTTTTCATTATTTCTAGTATACATCATTTAGATGCATTATTGTGCTTTCCTCAGAATTAAAACTAAAAAAGTTTCACATGCTGCTAGTCCCCTTGTAGGATCTGGTACAGGAAAGGAGGGAACCTACCTAGTGGTAGGCACTGTAACAAATTTCTTACACCTACTTTTCAGACCTTTATTACTTCTTTTAGAACTAGAGAGAAATACAGGTTTGCAAGTTGATTTGCTTTAATCAGGAGGGAAG